TGTGGGAGAGCTGACCCTGCCACCCATATGCTGGGGAATGGCACAGGCGCAGAGGTGATGGCCTTCCCCCCTTCCTCTCACTACCTCTGGTAGTCAGGAAAGCTGCCCACAGGGTCATAGTGAGGGAGAGCTAGCCCTGTCCCGCCCCCATTGCAGCGCTTGAGAGAGCAGGCCTTGCCCCTCACTTGGGCAGCACAAGGGCAAGAGCATGGGAAAGCTGGCCCAGCCACTCATCTGCTGTGAGGTGGTATGGATGTGGGGGTGATGCCCTTCCCCTTGCCACCTGTGGTAGTCAGGAGAGCAGGCCCTAAGGGCAGGAGAGCAGCAGAGCTAGCCCACCACCTCACTGGCTGTAGCATTCAGGAGAGTGGGCCCTGCACCTCAACTGGGCAATGCAGTAGTGATGGCCCCAATGGTGAAGGCATGGGTGAGCCAGCCCCAAAGGTATGAAAACAGGAGAGCAGACTCTGCCTCCTGCTGATGGCAACACTGGATGGCCTCGCTGGAGAGCTTATCCTGGTGGTGCTGATAAGGGAGAGCCAGTAGGCTGACCAGCTCAGCTACCACCAAGGCCCAGATCCAGGGCTTGGCGATGCCCCACAGCAAAATCTATATCATCTGTGAACTGTTGGGGTCCACGAAAGGGTAGATCTTTATGATTTAGTTAAAATGTTTTTCCAATATGATCTCAAATAAGTAACCAAAACCAAGATTGTCAACTTGGACTTTGTCAACATCAGGCATCTTTTGTGTGTGAAAGGACACTATGAAGAAAGCAGTCCCCGGAAAAGAAGGATCATGGGATGAAACAAAATATCTGCAAGTCATCCGAAGATGGACATCCTTTGTCCGGAACATGTGAAGGTCCCTCACAGTCCCCAGTGCAAAAGGTTACACGTCAATTCCTCTACTTTATGACACACCGATTGTTTTTAATGGGTAAGTGGTTTGCCTTGACATTTCTCCAAAGAACACATGTGAGTGATTAAAAAGCACATGGAAAGACGTTGGTTGTTAATCACTAGGAAAACGCAAGTAACAGCAACAACGAAGTACTTAATGTATCTGAGATGACTATCATAAGCATTTCAAAAAGGCAAATAATTTAAGTTGGCAAGGATTTGAGAAATGGAAATACTCACAGTTTACTAACGGGCTGTTAAATAATGTCTTCAGTGTGGCGAAGAACTTGATAGTTCATGAACGAGCTCAACGTAAAGCTACCATACTGTTTGGTAATCTCAGCCTTAGGAACATTGGCCAAGCAAACAGAATATGCATGTTTGCACAAAAACTTGCAAATACATGTTGATGGCAGCATCGGTCTTAATGGCAAAAAGTTGGAGGTAGAGTATTGTCTGTTAACAGCTAAACTGCTGGATAAACTGCTGTATATCCATGAGAAGGAATATTATCTACCCACAAAGAGAAATGAGTAATCAACACGTGCTACAACAAGCACAAAGCTTCAGAACGTGTTGTTAGCCTCACAAAAGAAGCCGAGCATGAAAGACTACTGTGCATTACTTCATTTACACGATATGCTATATGCAAGACCATGAAGACGGAGAATAAATTAGCAATTGTCAGGAGGTGGGAAATGAGGACTGTTGGTGTAATGTTCTATTAAAGTGAACACCCCTCACCCTTGTTAATTCAAATGCTGATTTCCCCACCCCCAATTCTCTGGTTTCAATCTGGATATGGCATTGTGATACTCACTAGAAGCATCCTGTCTCAACTCTTGTGTAAACAGGACACAAATAAAGCAACTAGATACAATGTTGTGCAATGGGAGGAGCCAGATGGACAGGAAAGAGGGGAGGAACTAGAGAACAGGAAAGGGTGGGAGGAGAAGGAGGAGGAGCTCGAGGAGAGCAGAGCAGGAGGAGAGCAGAGTGGGAGGAGAAAGCTTGGAGAACGTGGAGCATGAATCAGACCTAAGATTTCACAAAAAGCAAGTAAAATGTGGGAAATCTAATTGTTAGGAAACTGAGGGGTTGGAGGTTTAGGAGGGAGTAAATATTGCCCGGCATTGTGTTCTAGGTTAACTAAAAACCCAGTCTCTGTGTGGTGATTTGGTGTTATAGCTGCTGAGGATTAACAGCACCATTACTAGAAGATAAACCAACAGTAAATTTTAACCGCCTACAACAAATGGCGCCCAACTAATCTAAGAATCCACACCCTTTAAATCATACTTAAACATAATTTGGAGGGGGGGAATAAGCTCCCAGTAATAAACCCCAAACTTAAAATCTAAAAACTCCCAGGTCAGTTACTGTCTCTTTAAGAGAGGCTCTTAAACCAGCCCAGGAGCAGAAGACAGCCTCTTGTGGGCAGACCTGAGACTTCCATAACAAAACTGGCTGCTGGCTGCAGTTTAGCTAAGGGATAAACAAGTCTGGCTCTTTTATACTGTGGCTGGCTCAACTGGCTCAGCTCCACAGCCATGGCAGGAAAGAAAGGAACTGGAGGCAGACAAACTCTAGACAGAGTTTGGCCTAAACTGCATGTAAAATAAAAAAAAAAAAAAAAAATTGCCATGGCAGAGGATGTTTGAATCCCTTTTGGCTTCATTTTGGCTGTCATAGTCATGGATCTGGTTGCAGTATGTTTAATGGTGTTGGTTCTTCTCCATGCCTTCTCTAAGAAAATTCAAGGAGAAAATGGGGAAGAAGCCAAGGATAAGGGTACTAAGTTACAGACAGTAGTACTCGTCCAAATAATTAGGTTAATGACGGCTAAAATTCAAAGCTCTCTGGCTGCAAGGTATTTGTCAGCTCTTTCTGGTAAGGGTCCGCCAATTTATTGAAACATCAACTGAAATAACCAACTGGACTTTGTTCTTTACAGCGTAAATTGGCACAACTGATTCCAAACTTAAAATTTTCTTGGTCTCTTTGATTTTCATTTAAAGGCTTTGAGTTACAAATATACTGATTTGAAACTATATATCTCTGCACAAGATGGTGAAGGAACATGCCTTTCTTCCCAACACAAAGTAAAAAGAAACAGGCAGATCTCTGAGTTCTGGGTCAAGCTTATTTACATAATAAAAGCCAGGCTGGCAACTCCTGCTGTTTAGTCACTTACAAAGATAGTCGAAGATTCAAAATGACAAAATTTTCCTTAAGGTTACCATGTAAATTCCTTTTTCTTAATAACAGATGTTATGTCCTTACTGCTCTAAAGGTTGGATTCATGTCATTTTTAGGTTTATGTAAAGACAGATAATGTCACACTGCTCTGGAAACTGCCTTATCCTTTTAAACGTGAGATATTTTCACAGGGGAATAATGTTGGTTGTGCCTATGAAAAAAGATGAAAGAGGCTTAAAGATGGCAAAATACGTGCCAACGTACTTTAGTCCTAAAAACTCAAAAAATTATATTCATATGTTTAAAAAACAAAACTGTCCATCTCATAGCAATAAAGGGCAAACCAAAGAATAGCCAAAACCAACGTAAAAACCCAGGCACAAGATGCCTAGGGCATGCTTAAATGCTAAGGGTAAGAGAGTTTATATCTGCTAATGCTAAGAGAGTTTATATAAAGTTCGGCTATAAAGGCATAACTGTCCAGTCTGCATAAAAAAGGGGCAAGCCAAAAAATAGCCACTATCAATGTAAAGTCCAGGTACAAGATGCCTACGATATACTTAATGCTAAGGGTAAGAGAGTTTATATGCTAATGCTAAGAGAGTTTTTATAAAGTTCGGCTATAAAGGCATAACTGTCCAGTCTGTATAAATAAGGGGCAAGCCAAAAAATAGCCACTATCAATGTAAAGCCCAGGTACAAGATGCCTAGGGTATGCTTAAATGCTAGAGGTAAGAGGGAGTTTAAATAAAGTTTGGCTATAAAGGCATAACTGCCCATCCTGTATAAATGAGGGACAAGCCAAAAAATAGCCACAAACAATGTAAAACCCAGGTACAAGATGCCTAGGGAATGCTTATCAATGTAAAGCACAGGGATATGCTTAAATGCTAAAGGTAAGAGGGAGTTTAAATAAAGTTTGGCTATAAAGGCATAATTGCCCATTCTATGTAAACAAGGGGATAGGACAAATAGCTACAACATATATACAAATCTAGGGCTAAACCTCAAAACAGGTACAAGATCCCTACGGTATGCTTATATTCTAAATTAAAAAGGAGTTTTTATAAAGTTTACTTAAAACGTGTTTTTTATTGTTCAAGGCAACCAGCTTGTCTCTCTATTGGAAGGCTTCTCTAGGGAAATAGGTAGCAGCTTGGCCTAATACAATAGGCACGCTAGAGCCCAAAAAGATATTTTAATCTATCCAACCTTGTTTTGATTTCAACATGATAATGATTGTATGTTCAATAAAAATGGTAACTTATATTGCTAATCCCTTTACATGGGAACAACTCTAAAACTGAGTGAGACATAAAAATGTGTCTCTACCCAAA